GGGGGGATACACGTCCGCCCTCTCTTCCAGGTCTCTCCTGCCTCTCGGATCCGGGCACACTCGAGCTGCCTACGCGCACAAGCCCAGAAAGCCAGAAAGGAAGGATGCCCCTGGCTGGGCTCCCTCTTGGAAAGCTCCGACAAACTCCCGGCACGAGGCCCGCGAGGGGCAGCCGAGCCGAGCCGACCCCCCGCGGGAAGAGCAGCCTCGGCCCAGTTGCTTCAGGCTTGAAACGAGGAAGTAGAAAGCGGGGTAGGGAGGGGGCAGGGAAAGAGTGTGTTTGGGGAGGGGGGTGGCTGGAGGAAATGGTCTGAACATTAACAATGACCGTCTGAGGAGAAAAAGAAAATAGCGAGCTAAAAATAACGGGGTGATTCTTAATGCGAAGGAGCTACGCGAGCGCTGAGTAGAGTTGCCTGGAGAGTGTTGCAGTCCGCACCCAGCGCGCCCACTGACGTGCGGGGCTGTGCCACAGCCTCGGGCTCCCTTTCTCTCTCTCTCTCACACACACACACACCCTCTCTCTCTCACCCCCCCCCCCATCTTCGCCCTCTCTCTCTCTCTCTCACACACACACCACACACACACACACACACCAATCTTCGCCCTTCCTCATGACGACTACTGGGTATTGATTGCCCCGTGTGAGCCCGGTGCCCGCGTTCCTACCGGAGAGATCATCGGTTTGCATCAACAAGACTGTTCCCCTCCCATAACACAACGCCCGGTGGCCTGGGAAATATTCGCCCCTCCAACTCGAAGCCTGTCAGGCTTCGTAGCTCGAAAAAACACTTCATAAAATACGCGATTAAAGCCCTGAAATGTCTTTCCAAGAACGGCATGTTAATATAACTCAGCTTTCCACAATTGTTTCTTTCCTTGAGGAGGGGGCAAAGAGGGCAGAAGGCAAAGGACAGATCGCTGTTGGGGCTAAGAAATGATAGTGGGAGAGAGATGCAAACCCCCACCCCCACCCCCCGGGGTTATTCAGACCAGGAGAAATTTATGAAATCTGAGTCCAATTATTCAGATAATATTCTCAAGCTTCCTTGAGGGAGGGAAAACAAAACTAGCTTCGTGACTTTTCAATAAAGCCTTGAGATTTTGATTTCCTAAGCGTATTTGTAAACAGTAGCAAATACACTACCTGCTGAGCACAAACGTGCTCGCCAGGTTTGGTTCTTTCTTTCTGTCTGTCTTTCCTCTTCAAGTCTGACCTGGCCTATCTAGGAAAATAAATGTCAACGATTTGTATGTGCAATGTAGCCTTTTTTTTTTAACATGGCTACAGACAAGTGTCCCTCGTTTTGTGAAGAAGCTCGAAGAAGACTAAGTCGAGCTGGAAGCGAGAATGATTTTGCTTTTAACGAGTGTGATGCAAAAGCAGCTTAGCTGAACTGCTGTATTGGGGGGGAGGGGATCCCCAATTTGGATCACTTAAAATGAACAGCGTCGCCGGGTCAAGGGCATCAGAAGAGAGAGTCGCTTCCCCAGAGAAAAGGCAATGAAAGGAGGGAGGGGGAGTTGGAAACGGTGCTGGACTTCAGACAGACCTAACCCAGACCCCCGTGCAGGGCAGGGGAAGGGCGGCCAGCTCTGCTCTTGCCGTGTGGCCGAGGGAGGGCACCCCTCGGACCTAGGTCCTTGGAGACCCCTCCCCGACTCGCCCCCGGCCCCCCAGGCCGAGCCCCACCCCGTGTCTCACAGACCCCTGCTCTTCGTGCCCTAAAGGCTCCGTGCGAGGGGGGCCAGGCAAGAGCCCGCCTAGAGACCCTGCTTCCAGCGCCCCGAAGACGGGGTCGCACAACGCAGCCTCCCCGTGGTCTCTCCCCCTGGAGCAGCAGCAGCCAGGCCAAGAGACCCGGCCTGCCCCTTCTTTCCCTGCCCCACAAGCATCAGCCAGCGCCTGCCCTCCTGGGGATGCACCTCGGGGCAGGCTGCCACGATCCACCGCCTCTTCTCCTCCCTTGCTAACCTTTCTTTTGCCGGGGAGCCCCTGGCCTGGCCAAAGCCCCCACCCCGAGCTTGCTGGCAGAGCAGGCGGCCTCCCTCGGAGGGCTGCTGCCCGGAGGGTGTCCCGGAGCAGGGTCGGGGGCTCGGGTGTCACTGCCCGGGGAAGGGCCCCGCGCTGTCCGCGGGAAGCGCCGCCACGTGTGTCCGCCCGGAGCCAGAGGTGACCACTGAGCGCAGGGGTCAGCAACCCCACTTCCCCCCGGGCCAGGGCAGCGCAGCATCCCCCACCTACCAGCCTTGCTCCTGGGGGCAGCGGGTCGCCCCCCGGGGCTGTTCGGGCATTAGGAGCAATTACACGACACTTGTTCACGCCGCCTGGGTCCTCCCCCCCGCCCCCCGGCCAGCCATCCGCTGGGTGATTAAACAATCAAAGCTGACGACCGGGTTTCTCCGCTCTCTCTCTTCTCCCCAAACATCTGATTTCTGGAGACCGCGGAGACAACCGAGGGCATCGGACCCTAGCTTTAAAACACCCCTAAACCACGGCAACAATAAGCCCAGCGCGGGCAGCCCATCTCCCCGCGCGGCCTGTCAGCGGATGGAGGGGGAAATGCAAAGGCAATTACCCTTCAGGCAGCTCCGGGAGCCCCAAACATCATGTTTTGTTTGGTTTGGGGTCCCCCCCCCGCTGCTGCCTCCCTGCTTCTGATCTGCTTTTAAAACAGAAAGAGAGAATCAGAGAGCGGGGGAAATAGCCCTTCATTTCTGACACCCAGATAAGCCAAAGGATCTCTGCTCTCCTGCAGGGAGAAGACCTAAGCTACACATATCCGAGAACAGTCACAATATAATCGACACCTGCTTAAAATCACGTTGGGGGCCCCTCAAATATCCATGTCCTGAGCCCGGGTGACCCGACACTGGGAACAATTGGGGTGTGTGCACAGCATTATGTTTATCCCGTTAATTAAACAAAGTAGCCGGCGAGCTGAGGTTGAAATCTCTGCTCTTCCTTACAGCAAAAGAACAACAAAACCTTCCTCGATGTCACTATGCTATGAACAAAAAAAGATCCAAAGACTATGCCTGTTCCTACTCTATCCAAAACTTTTTAAAAAAAACGCTATATTTTTAAGGCAACGGCTGCAAATAAAGCGTGAAGTAGATAATATTAAATATGTATCCAACCTGAGTTCACAAAAAAATCCGCGAGACCGTATATTGGATGTCCATGATGATTTCTGAACACTGGATTAGTGCTTCGGAGAAGCAGCGCAGTTCAAAAGCTACATAATAAGTTACTGACATTACCTGGTTTTTATTTACAGTGTTACCCTGAACAATGCGAAAGCAATTACTGCTAAGTGTTGCCTTAAGATAAGAGGGCCTGATAGGAAACTGTATTATCTTGAAAGCAAACTTTAGGCCCTAAATATCTCTAATCAAATAATCGTCCTCTAAAAGTCTGAGTGACGGGCCGGATCATTGGGAGATAATGGATTTATTACATTTTCTTCGTTATTTACAAAGGGAAAAGGTGATCCCGATCGCCCCTAGCATTTAATTGTAAATTGACCAGAAGGAGAGACCTCTGATCTGACAACATCGGAGGGAACAGTCATCTACTCTGGCCTTTTTCCTTCGGATTTAAGAAAGGAAGGTGGGGGGATTTCAGTGGTAAAGGTAAGGGAGAAAAACTGCAAGAACATAGGTTTCCCCCCCTCCCCCAGTCTAATAACATTTCAAGCAGCTAAATTACTGAAAGAAGGAGCTATGTTTATGCTGACAGGCAGAAAGTGGAAGGGGGAATCCTGTTTGTAAAATAACTCCTGCTTATGTAGAAAGGGGTTTGGATTGTACTTTTAAAATACACATTTCACAATCTGTTTACGATGTATATATAATTATCCGCTCTACGAAACAAGGGTATAATCTATGCTTACATTAGAATTAAGGATACCTTACCGAATGTCTCCTGTACGAAATACTAAACAGCATGCAGAATGCCACGGGTATATATACAATTCTAGCTTTATATATATAGTTAGATATATCTAACTATAGTTATATATATAACGATAGATAGATAGATAGATAGATAGATAGATAGATAGATAGATAGAGCAGGCATGTATATATATAATATGTTATATATATGCTCCTCTATCTATCTATCTATCTATCTATCTATCTATCTATCTATCTATCTATCGCTAGAATCACTTATGTCATGCTGATAAGAAATAGATACATATGCAATCCTGCTATAAATATGCATACAGAGGGAGAAGCCTGTTTCACATAGCCTTACACAGAAGACAATATAGCCTGTATGTAATATTTGCATCTATATAAAATATGCCGTGTCCTAAGGCTACTATGTATGGTCAAAAATGTCTTGACCATGCATTGCAAGGCAAACGTGTCTGTTTACGTGCCAACTCAGATTTGCTATGGGAAAGTGTTGTTGTTTTTTTCCCCTAGCGGATAAAGCAAGCTGAGTGGACCATATTAGAGGAGAGATTAGAACAAAAATTTCGACCTGACAGTTCCTAAAGAATCTTTTAATTTGGTACAGAAAAAAGGAACAAGTTGTCCCCATCGCTAACGTTAGCCATGACATCTTTCATTAAAAATATATAGAGATAGATAAAAGTATCCAGACGTATCAAGGTATTATTCCAATCGAATGGTAATTTATTAATAAACAAACAATGCAATACCTTCAGAATATTTTCAACAAAAAAGGGGGGGATCGATAGAATAAAATGAATACAGTTTCCCTTGTTTCATATAGAATGGGGGGGGGGGGAA